GACTTTTGTATTAAAATTTGTAGATAAAAATTGTTTTACTTACACCTTTGAGCAACAAGAATTCAATTACCCAACAAATTTAGACACTTTATCATGTGGAAATAGGGAATTTGAATTAGAACTTGACTTCTTCCTTCTGCTTACTGTCGAGAAACCTAAGCAGAGTTGGCACTAACCCCTTTCCTCAAAGATCTTTCTTCAGGCTTTTATTTCAAATAAGATTCTTAGGAAACTCAATCTCTTCAATGATAAAAATAGAACAGCCAAGACACTCCATAAAACAGGGACACAATTCTAATATTGAGATATTTACAGTGATGTATTGAATTTGATGCCTGAAAAAAGGTTATTTGCCATCCAGCTTTGTTATGGTATTAATGATCATATTGGTTTAATCCAGAGATAGGCAATTATTTCGGCTGAAGGGCCACTTAACAAGTTTTGGTGAGATATCAAGGGCTGCACACACAAAATCTTTCAGAAGACATCATTTTCACATATAGATAAAAAAAAAAAATCGTAAACTAAAAATCAAACTCCAACTGTAACTGGCAAGTCAGTCAGTAATACAGAAGTCCTCAACTTCAGGAAAGTTGACTTTAACAAACTAAGGAAGCTTGTCAGAGAGGCCCTAAAAGGCCACAACCCAATGGTGAGGGGAGGAGTTCAGGACGAGTGGTTGTTCCTCAAGGGAGCAATCCTGGATGCGCAAAGGATGGAGGACTGGAACCACCACCAAGGAGAAATACTCTGCTCTGGTCCAGACCTGCAGAGAGCAAACCAGGAAAGCCAAAGCTGTGATGGAACTCCAGCTAGCTACAAAAATCAAAGACAACAAAAAGTCCTTTTTTAGATATGTGGGGAGCCAGAGGAAAAGCAAGGGCAACATTGGACCTCTGCTAAACCAGATGCGGCAACTGACAACTGATGCCCAGGAAAAACCGAATTTGCTAAATGGGTACTTTGCGTCAGTTTTTCACCAGTCCCATGGGATGGCCCTGCCCACTATGGGTCAGGGAGGCCCAAGTGAGGGAGATTCCTTGCCCTCCATTGAAGCTGACCTCATGAAGGAACACAGGGACAGGCTGGATACCTTCAAGTCAGCTGGCCCTGATGGGTTACACCCAAGGGTACTCAGGGAGCTGGCAAGCATCATAGCTCAGCCCCTGGCATGTATCTTCTAGAGCTCTTGGCACTCCGGTGAAGTGCCCGATGGTTGGAAGAGGGCCAATGTAATATCTATCTTCAAGAAAGGGAGGAAAGTAGATCTGGCAAACTACAGGCCCATCAGCCTGACCTCTATCCTGGGGAAGGTCTTGGAAAAGATTTTCAAAGAGGCCATCCTTAACAGACTAGCTGAAGGCAATATCCTGAGGGATATCCAGCATGGATTTGTTGCGGATAGGTCTTGCCTGACCAATCTCATTTCTTTTTATGAGCAGGCAACTAATCACCTGGACAAGGGGAAGAGATCAATGTTGTATATCTTGACTTTAAGAAAGCCTTCGATCTGGTATCCCATGATCACCTTTTGGCTAAACTGGCTAACTGCGGCCTCGACCTCACCACGATCTGCTGGCTGGGGAATTGGGTCCGCGGTAGGACCCAGAGGGTGGTGGTCAGTGCACCAAGATGATTGGTTCCCACTGTCACCATTGGGGTCCCTCAAGGCTCTGTCTGTACTGTTTAACATCTTCATCAAGAATGTGGACATTGGTGTCAGAAGCGGACTGGCCAAGTTTTGCTGATGACACCAAACTCTGGGGTAAAGCATCCACACCTGAGGACAGGAGGGTGATCCAGGCGGATCTTGACAGGCTCAGGAAATGGGCAGACGAGAACCTGATGGTGTTCAACACCAAAAAATGCAAGGTTCTCCACTTGGGAGGAAAAATCTGCAGCATCCTTACAGGCTCGGCAGTGCTACGCTGGTTAGCACTACAGATGAAAGGGACTTAGGGGTCATGATTGACCACAAGATGAACATGAGCCTTCAGTGTGATAATGCGGCTAGTGAAGTGAGCAAAAAGCTGGTTTGCATCCATACATGCTTCTCAAGCAAATCCCAGGACGTCGGCAGCTTTGGTGAGGCCGCAGCTGGAGTCCTGCGTCCAGTTTTGGGCTCCACATTTCAAAAAGGACGTGGAGAAGCTTGAGAGCGTGCACAGAAGAGCCACGCACATGATCAGAGGTCAGGAAAACGGACCTTATGATGAGAAAAGCACAGGCTTAGGAGTGATCTGATGTCCACCTATAAATTTATCAGGGGTTGCTCATCAGGATCTGGGGGAACGTCTGTTCACCAGAGTGCCCCAAGGGATGACAATATCGAACAGTCACAAACTCTCTCGCAACCAATTCAGGCTGGACATAAGAAAGAACTTCTGCACTGTCCGAGCCCCCAAGTTTTGGAATAGACTGCCACCGGAGGCGGTTCAAGCACTTTGAATGCCTTCAAGACATTTGGATGCTTATCTTGCTGGGTTGCTATGATCCCTGCTGACTTCCTGCCCCTGGGGCAGGGGGCTGGACTCAATGATCCTCTGGGGTCCCTTCCAGCCCAAATTTCTATGAAATAACGTATTTTAATTTTATTTCAAAATTTTTTTTTCCTGATTTTGTTTTTTTTAGTACTATATCTAGAGATGATTGCATAACAGCTCAAAATAAAGTCTTACTTTTGTATGGTGGGGGGTAGTGGCTTTGCACTAGGTCCTGGGAGCCAGCATGAGGGGGAGCGGGGCAGAGGGGCGCATATAGCAGAGTCGGCCCATGCAGTGCAGTGTAGGAGCAGTCCGCACCTCCCCACCATCCAACCCACAGCTGCCTCCATGGCACTCTGCATGGGGCCAAGCCCTGGCTGCTCCTGCTCAGAGCAGCCTGTACCAAGCTCCTGCCTGACCCACCCCCCACCTACCAACAGCATGTCCCTGACTCTCACTCTGGCCCCAGCCCCAGTTAGCACACCAGTGAGGCTGCTGCCACTGCTCCTGCAGCTGCCCGGGTACTGCTCGGCTTTCCCCACCTCCAACGGCTCCGCCTCATCCTGCCCCTGCTATGGTGTTCTAGGCAGCAGGTAGTGCAGGGCACCACCTGCCCAGCCAGAAAGGGGGCAAGCTGCAGACAGGAGGTTTCTGCCTTAGCATGAGGCTCCAGCTCCTGGCCCCCTTGCACCCACTTGGCTGCCCAGTGTACTGGCTGGGGCCAGGGCAGTGCCATTGGTGGGCACAGGGTAGGTGCAGGCAGGAGCACAGCATGGGCTGCCCTGGGTGGGAGTGGATGGGACTCAGTTCCATACAAGAGTGCCACAGGGGCAGCTGCGAGGTGGATATAATTACTTGATGGACTAGATCCAGCTCGTGGGCTGTCTTTGCCCACCCCTGATTTAACCAGTAACAACATCCTAATTCTCTTTGGTGATACTGTCTTAAACTAGCAGTCCTAGTAATATGCCAGTTAGGTCACCAGTGTAATTTTCTTGGATAACAGCTAGAAATGGCTTAAGCAGAAATCCAGCTGTTCATAGAACTACACTCAGCTATGTCTGATAGGCTGGATGGTCAAAAAAGGGTTCCCCTGATTGGAACTTCATCAAACTCAGGTTAGATTAGTCTCTGGTGTGCTGTGCCTGGTCACCCAGTTGTACTCAGTTTGTTGGATGACAGGTGTGATTAGCTGAGTCCTGTGTGCCAGGTAGGTCCCAAAATGCACCAGGGTCGTATATGAGTTAAGTACAGACGGGTACTTCCTTCATTTCTCACTCACTCGCACTCTTTCTGTCTCTCTCCTTCTAGAACAAAATATAACAAACTGAGTTAACTGGGTAGACAACCGATATACCTTTCTATTTGCAAATATTTGGTAGATTGCTGATTATGATTAACTGTTGTTTCCCTGGTGGGACCACTGTTACGATATTTGAATTTCCATTTTGCTATCCAGTTTCCTATAGTGTATATTACAAAGTGTTGGAAATACCTATATGTTCTTTTGCAAACTCCAGCAGAAATATGGTTTTATTGTGTGAACTTGTCAGCTATAACTGGATTTGACAAGTAGATAGTGAATAAACAATTAGCTACTAATCTGAACCATATTTTACTCTAAAGACATATAAGAGAAAGTAATTGTCATATATTTAGAGATGATAGATTTTTAGGACTTAATGCAATTTTGCTTAATTTTTGCCATGGAAATTCTGCTCAGTTTTACTTCTCTTTGTGAACATGTTGCCAGTAAAATGGCAGGTGAACCCCCATTCAAGGCAATTGGAGTTTGGTCACTGATTTCAATAGAGTCAGGATTTCACCCAGCAAATTTAATTTGTATTTCTTTGCCTGTCAAAGTACTGTAACTTATTTCACAAGTCTTTAATGTGCTAGTCATAAACATTGGAAATTGTTTATTATTATGTAATATGGCATACTGTTCACACACTACAATTAAAAGCTTTCTGGCCAAGAGTACTTTTTACTTTTAGATTAAAAATGTTGAAATCTTTAGTTTATTGTTTCAATGTCAACAGTATCTGGTAGCTGATCAGTTAAATCTTTCAATCTTTACAAAGGTTGCATTTTATATTATCATATTTTAAAATACCAGATATAAAGAAAGTATATAAAAATACCAGGAGTAAAGCTTTGCATTTTTATGGTAAATAAATTGAAGGATTTTTACTGCATATTGCAAGTCTGAATAAATCGCATATTTATTTTCTACTTGTCCGTTGAAAAAAATATAAATACTAATATCAAAGGAATTTGCCTTAAGTCTACAGTATGCATCATTCAAAATAGCATTGATGACAGTATTACCTCTCAGTTAGTTGTGAGATTTATGGATTTTTAGTTCCATGGTTTTTCATTACTCTGTCTGCACAGTCAAATTGATTTTGTAGGCACTGAATAGCAGGGAGAAGCAGGAAGGCAGTCAGTTGACATCCATCATTAATAAATGTTTAAGTATTGTTAATCTTTTTCTGGTCTGCTCATGATTTTTAGGGGCCTCTAGAAAATGATTTGGTCATCCATGTGGCTTTGATAGCAGAAAGTCAACGGTAAGTCATTTACTTTGTTTAACAATTTCTATAGGAAGAATTGAGTGCAACAGAGATAAAAAGTTTTGCTCATTTTCAAAAAATCATGAATGAGAATATTTATTTAGTAAATTGGCATGATATTCATGGCTTTGTTTCTTCATTTATCGCTACCAAGAACATTATTAAAAATTAGGCTGCAGTTAGTCTGTGGTGAAATCTCACTGTTATTTTGTTTTATAGCCTACAAGTTTTTCTGAACACATATGGAATTCAAACGCAAACTCCGCAACAGGTGGAACCTATTCAGATATGGGCTCAGCAGGAACTTGTCAAAGTAAGGGATTCTGCAGTTATAACTTATTTATGCATTTTTCTTAATGAAAACAATTCACCAACATTTCTGTATAACTTCTAAATTCTTCCTCCTGTATAAAAAATTGCAAAATAGCAAGAGTTGGGGAAGAGTGGGACACATTTTTCTGTGAAGACTTCATGTCTTCCCTTTTCCAATGGTAGGAAGTCCATGGGCAAAATCTAGAGTCTTGTATAGCTCTGGGTGCTAGCCATTTTAGCTTGGTGTACTGGATACAAGTCATTGGGAACACCCATAGTTTGGGGTTGACAGATAAATCCATATTTTCAAATGGCTCTTCATTTCCTTGGCACACTGACAAAATGACCAGATGACCTCAGGAGTAGTGGTTATCAGGTGGACACATGGGCCGTGTCAGAGCAACCATCAAACACAGGAAGTGCCCTGTTTATCTGTAAGTGTTTTAGTGTCATTAACTTAGCACTTTTGTTGCCCTTATTAACACCCCAGTAATAGCTATGACAAACCCAGCACTATGTAGAATTTTATTTCTAAATATATTTAGTTGTGCCACCTCTTCCTTCTTTTGGAGACTAGTGGAACACCTAAGCATTCTGCTGTCTCCTGACGGCCAATTGCCATTGTTCTTAATCAGCAAACTATGGACAGACATATCAGGAAACAAATTTTTCACAAAAAAGATAGCTTCTTCCCTTCATTTTGCGCACATTTGCCCAACCTAGTTTTGCCTGTAAAGAAGTAATAAAGATAATGAATAAGCTGTTGCAAATCTGCCTTGATAAAATGGCAATGATAACATGACTTGAGGCCACTTCTTTAGCTGCCCACAGGAATATTTTTTCCTGAACTATTTAATCTTTAAACAGATTTCAGGTTCTTTGCCCATACATGATATTTCTCTTTCTTCTAGAATCTGAAACTGACTAAAATGCATTCTAAGCTTTTTAGTTTTATTAGGTTAACAGAGTCTTTAACATTTCTAGTAATATGTGGGCACAGGTCTTTTTTCCAGACATTAGACCTACTGTTCTGATACCAATAGCTCACTGTCTATATTAGCGTGTTGAGTGAGACAACTTGAGCTTGTACATTCCAATCAGAAGCCTTGGTGCTTCTCACCCCATGGTAAGTCCAAATCTAAACTCCTAATTTTACTTGACCCTTGCCATATTCTCATTTGTGACTACAACTGCATTCATCTTCCTGTGGCCTGTTTTACTTTGCAGTTCAGGGACCTGCTGCCCTGTGCCCTTCATGAGAAAAACCACGTCAGGAAAGAACCCTACTTGATTGGCCATTAATTTCAGTTTTTGTTTGTTCGTTCTTTCATTCGTTCTTTCAGAAATCTATGTGTGGGTGATGGTTTCTCTGGGAACCAAGCTTTAGTCAGTCTAAACTCATTGGCATACCTCTTTTCCCCCCAGCCAGTGGCAGCTCCTTGCTTCTGTTCTTTCATATATATCAGAAGACTTTCCTGAAGCCATGCTCTGGCAGCTCCTCTCACTTGTTCCTTTTCTCTACCTTTATGCTTCTCCCCTTAGAGATAATTTGAGGCCTCTGATTCCTTCACAAAACTCAACAAAGTCACTCCAAATCCTAGCCTTGCCCCCCCAACTTGGTGTCATCTGCAAACATGCAGAGGGTGCACTCCATCTCATCTTCCAGATTTGTTAATGAAAATATTGAATAAAACCAGCCTCTGGACCGGCCCCTAGGGCACTCCACTTAATACCAACTGCCAACTAGGTGGAAAGCCATTATCGCTTTCCATTGAGCTCAATAATCCAGCCAGCTTTCTATCCACCTTACAGTCCATTCATCCAATCTATACTTCATTAGCTTGCTTGCAAGAAAGCTTTGGAAGACCATATTAAAAGCCTTGCTAAAGTCAAGGTGTATCATGTCCACTGCTTTCCCCACATCCACGGAACGAGTCATATCATCAAGAAGGCAATCAGGTTGATCAGGTATGACGTGCCCTTGGTGAATCTGTGCTGACTGTTCCTGTTTTCTTCCTACCTATTTCTATATATTCCTTGAATTGTACTGGCCCAGGGCCAACCAGAGCAGAGGGCTTCTTCCCAAATGTTCCTTTGACAACTATTATGCCTCCCAAGCTCTGTTGCCATCCACGTCCTCCTGACACTGTCCCTGGCAGCACAGCCCCTCCTGTCACCACCCCTCTGTTTTCTCCTGAGGAGGGAAGGAAAGAAATGCAGAAAAGCTAGTGTTAACAAAACGGAAAAAGCTGACACAGGAACCTGTATTTGCTTTTTATGAAGGACTTGTATAATCCAGATAGTTAATCATACCAGTTCTACAAACACTTCTGCCTATTGATAACCAGAGCGGTTAACTTGACAATCTTCTGGGGAACAGTATTTGATATATTTCTGGGAAATGAACCAGCTTTATGATGTTTAAAGCTAAAATATTTGTTATCTTATAATGGATACTTAAAAAACAAATCCATTAGAAAGAGCCTGAATTGACACAGCTTTGGGGGTTTTGGTTTTTTGTTGGTTTTTTGTTTTTTGGGTGTTTTTTACCTGTAATGAATCAAAGAGAAGATCTGTTACTGGAAGAAGAGATTATTTTAGTAAACCATAGAGCATTGTGTCGAAGAGAACACAATTCGAAGAGAACATCCTCAAGGAAATGTTTACGACTATTCAAGTTCCATTTTTCTTTTAACAAAAAAATTCTTTCAAGGTGGGCTGAAAATCAAGGTGATTTAAATTTTATGTTTCATTCATTTTTAATTAACTTTTCCATTTGGACTTCAGTTATTTTCTAAAGAAAATTGCTTTCTCATTGGTTTAGATTTACTGATAAATAGAGCCTCCAAACTAGATTTAGCAGCTCTTTTTGCAGCTCTTTTTGCTATCTGCAAGGATACACTAAACTGTATACATTTATTTAAGCAATTATAATTTGACAATTGAGCCAATCAAAACTCAAGTTGGGAGAAGCTTTGAATCAGGAGGAATCTGTCTTCCAGGCTCAGTGAATCCTGATGAGAGACGCAGTCGTTTCTTACGGAGCCAGAATCTGGGTCCTTGTGCCCATGATGACTTCACCATTTTCTTCTACTCAGTACCACAATCCAGTGGGTTCCCTCACTAGGTCAAGCCCTTTAATACAATTTGTAACCTGCTATGCAATACCTACAAACCTAGTCTTCAGAAGTTAGATGTTTCTCCCTGATTCTTTCTTGCTGTAATGAACTATTTAGTCTGTAACTAAAGTTCTTTCTATGCAACTCAGAGCTTTCA